TACTAGAATATGATTGATAATCTGATGTTCTAGTATGACATTTCCAGGATAATACAGTATGACACTACACGAATGATTTAATGTAGAAGTATAAAAAACCACTGGTAGAATATTTGTATGCGAATATAGTTAAAAAGATGCAGCAATCCTTGCCAAACCTGTGCAAGCCGAACTTGAGATCCTCTAGCTTCGCGGATAGGCTGGGTCCGACAAAGTCTCTGGCCGAGCCAAGCTGGTGGACTCTGGGCCGCAGTGTTCGCAGTGCACGCCAACAGGCAATTGCTTTGGCCCAGCCGATGCAGTGATGCTGTCTAAATTGCGCGCATCTGCATGAAGTACTACAGCTCCAACAGTGTCCGCAGAGCTGGAAGCGTGCTCGTTTGCCCCGCACTAGCACTAGGCTTTAGGATAGTCAAAAACCGCCGGAAGCCTTGAGCCCTTGCACCTAGGACTGTGAGAAACTTGGCCACCGTGTGAATGGCCGCCACCTGGTTGGCAGAGACGGGTTTAGGCCCGGAGGCAAAAAAGGGCCTGAAGGCCGTCTTGAGGGCTTGAACAACCATATCAACTCACCATAGTTTTACCCTTTTGGAGCGGTGCAGGCAGGAAAAAGGCGGGGTCTTGGTGTTGCGGGGCGTTTGGACTCCTTTGTGGATGTAGTATCCCTTTGTCAGCGTGTTCATTAGCACCCACAAAGGCTCTCAACCTTAAGAGTTCCAATTCCTGAGGCTGGAAGCTCAAGCCACGGTTCCAGAGCTTCAAAAGAACTTTCTCGAAGCACCGCTGTTGGAGTCTCAGCCAGGCAGTTCAGATGAGCTGTAGAAGTGTGCATAGAGCTTTGCAGTGGTGGACGCGCGTGCCTTACTAAGGTTTCCGTGTTTTCAGGCAGTGCAACTATTGCTCCTGTGTCATGGTAGGAAATTGTCATCACACGTGCACACCAGCATCTTGTTGCAGCTATTGCCGTTTGGTCATGGAGACGAGGAGCCATCCCCGGGAAACAATGCGACTGGCAAAACAGCTACTCCTGTAAAGAGTCCTTACGTTTGCAACACGCTTGTTACTAAGTGCTGCGCTCAAATTAGCACGGTAGGGTGCCATGTGAAGTTCTTGTACAAAGACAAGGTCTTGCGCAAGATGTGACCAAGATGGGTTACACGACGCGTTGGGCTCAGTTTTTGCATCTGACGGAGCGTGCCCTACATAACCTTTCTGCCTTCAACCCAAGGCTCTACGCGTGGATGCTCGAGGGAGCTGCGCGCGCCTAAAACCTGCCTGCGGCGGCACACACCTTCCTCTATAAACTTAGATGCCCTTCTCGGGACTAAGTAACTGCAGAGTCTGCAACCGCAACCCGTCGTGCTTCATGCCAATGATTTGCAAGTCCCTTACATGGAGCCCTCAGCCACCTTGGCCGTATGCAACTTAATGAAGATGGTGGCAAATTCTTGGCTTCCCAGTGTATCCTGTGCTGATTTCCGAATGCGCTCTCGTGCTGATGCAAGGCCCGGTACTCACGGCCGTTCCGCCACAAGCCCAAAGCAGGCTTGCCGGAACCAAATCTAGCATCAACACGTCAAGTAATTATGAATTTCGCGTTTGTAAGTATCCGAAAGAAGTTTGCTTCAGAGGACTTGTGGGTGCGTCTCAGCATGTTCCTGAGACCAACATGGACAGCCGCATGAACAAACTTCTGCGGGCTCGGCACGGCTTTTGTTGCTGGTCCAATCCACAACACAAATCTATTCGGATCGTTTTTCTGCCAGGGTGCAAAGCCAATGTTTATGCCGGAACATGAATGCACAGCAGCCTTGTCGCGCTCGCAGGGCCTTGAAGCGGCGATGTAACAGTGCCTTGTGTTTGCAGGACGTAGGATGCGAATCTGCAATCCAAGTATGTGCAGCGCTGCCCTTTCATTGGCCTTTGCTTGTTTTCAGGCAGTGGGTATGTAACCAGATTCCAGTTCCCCAGTTTCCAATATGATTCGTACTCGTGTGAGGCTGCGTGGTGTGGACGAGACTGTGAGGTAGGGTTGACTGATGTCCCCGTGAAAATCACGTCTATTGACATCAGCAAGTGCCAGAAAGGGTGCTTCCACAATGAATTCGACTCCTTCACCGCGCCTCGATTTCTATTCTTCTCCTGCCAATGCTACTGTTTCTACTCCCAGTAGTACTGATCCTACAAAGACGGTTACGATAACTATGTGGGTCTCTTGAGATTTGGGGTTTTGCGGACCTAGCCTTGCAGTGCCTATAGACACACACGTTCCTCTTCACTTCGTAAAATTGTGTAGGTGGCATCTCAGCCACGAGTGCTGAAGTGTCTGCCGTGCTTGTGTTCTGCGCGTAGTGTAGCTCTTATAGGTAGTGCTAAGCATACCTGAGCGACGGCAGCTTCGAAAGGCCTGCTTGCAAAAAGGTTTCGGACTCAGGCTTCTTCAGCCATAGGCTCTGCCAAGACCTCCAGCCCTAAGCTTCCAGGCAGAATAACATTGGCCGCATGAAAGCTACTCATTCGTCTCGCTAGTCTGAGTTGAACGCATGCCGACAAGATTTAAGGCCAAAGCTCCAAAGCCTCAACACTGCAACAGCCGAAGCCCAATACCAGCGCCCCAAAAGACCAGCTCTGGCTCAGAAGCGTTTCTTGCTAGTGGCAGTGGTACGTGCAGAGGAGGTCAGTGTCGGTGTAGCTGCCTACCTTTGCCGCCCTTCCGCCGCAAGGCATGGTCATGACTGCAGACACACACCTTGGCTTGGAGGTGAATGATCAGCCTTGCCATGCACGCAAAACTCAATGTTCTGAAGACTCGCCAGCAGGCAGGCTCACACACATGATGCCGGTACTAGCGAACCATTTCATCCTCCGCCCTAGCGTGCACACAGGAACCGTAGGCACCAAGCTAGGCCCCTTTAAGTTGGATCTCCCAGAAGGTACGTGAAGATGTCTCATATAGTCTAGCCACTCACAGCACCTTATGAGCTACAACTGGCACTTCAAGCTGCGCAAACCTGGTACCCTCAGGGTTTTTGGCTGCTAACCGGCAACCGGTAGCGAATTGTTCTAGCGCTCGTCTTACCCTGGCGGCTTCCGTTAAGATAAGCTGGTTTTCAGGGTTAAGGCTAGAACTGCACTCCGCTGTAAAAGAGCACTGGTCTACAGGTGCATGTGAGCATCAGTTGCACATACACTGGCATGCGGCTGATTGTGCTGTAGGGACATCTTCAGGCTGACCATCAACGAAATTCTGCCCAGGCTTAAAGCTCGATTTGTCTAAGTGGACTTAAGTACCTTTCCCAAATTCTCTCATCTTTGAACTCTTAATGTCTTATGTTGAGTGCTTTCCTACAGGCTCAGCCAGCATCTCCCGTAGCTGGCCCATCAACTTTAAACAGCTTGGGCGACTATGAAATATGTGCACTGAAAAGCCCGGCGTTAGTCGTTCATCAATTCTGAAGCGCTATTCAGCCGCTAGTTGTTACAGCAATCTAGAGTATTTGCTTGCCCAGGCTACTCACATGTCCATAGGCCTCCAAGTTCTCAGAACTGATGATGCGTAGAGTTATTAGACCCATATAGATCTACCAAAGCACTACACGCGCAAGCGCCCTTCCTCATGTGTCCCCACCTACAGAAAACCTGTTGATGGCATGAGAAGTTTCACTATCAAGGTGTCAACAACCCAAAACCGACATCCCCAACACAGTGCTGCAGTACCCACATGGTACATCGCAAGTAACACTAAGGGGCCCATCTAACTAAAATGACTAATCATGAACATTTCTGCCATATGGGCATCTTTCGCTGCTGAAGCCTCAGACTGAGAGCGTGCATGATGATGAATCATCATGTTGTGTTAGCCCAGTCGTTCATGCTCAGTTTCGCATCAGCATACAGATGCAGTTTACAGAGCCCACAGCCAAGATTTCTACATGGGATCTGCTAGTTGAACCACACAACCCGGTATTACCATATCAAATTTGCCTTCGAAGCCATCGCGCCAGCATCAGATGGGTCCACAACAAAGTCAGGGCACCAAGTGGACAGGAATTTGGCCAGTTGACACCTCTAGCCAAGGGCTTCTGCGTCTTGAGATGAAGAGAAGAATCTGGGCTCATCATTGCTAGTTTTAAGAATCTTAGAATAGTCCTGAAGTTTTTCAGCTACCTCTAACTTCATCATTTGGGATTGGTTCCTTATACACAGTCTAAAGTGCAGTTAACACAGACGTGTACCTGAGTTGAGAGAACATCTTTTCATGGAATGCTATTCTACTCCCCACTGCAGCCAGATGACATCCTCTTCAGCCCGCCATGCTTCGTCCACCTAAGGCTCGATCCATCTTTCTTGTCCACGCGAACCTTGCTAGCTAGCATATTGTTGCGACAGCATTACAGCATTGGTGTGACTACTTGGTCTTTTGAACCTGGTTGTGTGGCACCCTGCGCATGCATCAGTAGCCAGAAGTAGCAAGCAACGAAATGAGGCTCATGTGCCAAAACCATGCTGCTGGCTTCGGCTTCAGAATTTTGTTAACTACATTGAGTTTCTTGCACGTCTTCTCAACACTGTGGCTACGAAAAAACATAGGAGCCGTTAGTGTACAGCAAGGAGGTAGTCGGGCAGATACCTGCCCCATCCATTCCGATCTGCGGCACGCAAACCGGTGGGGACACGCAGTAGGACCTGACGAAGTTTGTTCAAGTCACCAGTACTGTGGACTTCAGATGCACACTGACAACGGGAGGCTTTGAGGAGCAACCACAAGTGATGAACATCACCATACAACCCAGCTGTTGAAGTCTTTAGGGTCATCCGCACTACAACCCCAACATTGCTCACATCTAGCTGGATGAGGGAACACTAATATTTGTCTAGGCCATATGTGCAGCTCATGTATACCCTCAGATTCAAACATTGCAGGAGAGAATCTTTGCACTGAAGCTTTCCTGGGGCTGGAGATCCGGCAAACTTGAGGTGCTCACGAAGAAGCTTCACAGATGCAGGCACAGATCTCGACTCAAAATGTTTCCACATGTTTTTGCGACGGAACGATTCTGAAGCTTTTCGGGTTCATGAGCCGTGCCCTTCTAGGTGCGTCGTCGGCTTCGTCGTTTGGCCTTCTCGTCCACTTGTTGCACCACTTCGCGTCTCCCGACGTTCCTCCTCCTTTGGATTTCTCCTGCCCCGTTTGCCTTGACGGCCTGCACTGGCCCAGCTTGGGGTTAGGGGTCCTCATAGGGTTTCTGGTTTGGCCTGCCTTGGAACTCCTTTTGTACATCCGTGCATTCCTGCTCCAGGTTGCTGCCAACCGCTTGCACGGCCGGGCCTCCTTCAGCTATCGGCTTCTTACATGAGCCTTGGCTCCCGTGTGGCTGCGCTTGAACGTGAGGTCGCCGAGCTGCGAGCAACTGTCGCCCGTCTGGCGGCTCAACTTGAGGAGTCCGAGGGCTCTTCTTTTGACTTGGTGCAAGACCGTGCTGCTGTGCCCCCGCTCCCGACCAGGCGGTCGGACGTGCAAAGGACTCCCGGCCCTCCGGCGCTTCTGCGTCAGGTTCGGCCTCGCCTGCCGGAACCTTTTCTTCTGCTCCCAGCCGCGGGGCTGCCTGCCGCGAGATCGGGCTCTTCCTTCGCCGGTGCTTAGCGGACGACCATCGAGGGCCGTCCGGCCGTGATAGGCTCCCGGGTGGTTCTAGGTTTTGGGTTGTGGCTAGGGATTATAACGGCCAGACCTTCACCCCGGTTCAGGTTTACACTCGGTTCGGGGATTGCAAGCCGATCGTGAAGGTCGGATCGGATCTGGGCCTCAGTGTGTGCATCGGGCTTCCGTCCCGTGGTGACGTGATCGCGGTCTGCGCCGCAGCGGACCTTCCCTTGCCCAGCCAGTGGTGAGATGTCGGTTTCGGAAGGCGAGCCCGACCTGGACGGTGAGCCCGTGAATGCCCGAGACGCCCTCGCTTCTGGAGACGGCTTTCAGGATCTTCACTGCCCTGTCGGTCTGCTTAAATGTGGGGCCGACGAGGGCGACGAGGCGCTTACCGTGCAAGCTCTTGTTGTGCGGGAGTTGGATGGAAAATTGGTGTTGGCCGTGCCGGCCTCTGCCTGGCACAAGAAGGTCGCAAAGAGGTCCCTTCCGAAAGGGTTTTTAACCAAAGTTGCCGCGGCAGAGGTCGCCGCCTGCTCCGCCGACGACAGGGGTGCCCAAGTCGAAGGCGTCGCCCTCAGGGTGTGGTTCGGCCTCCTCGAGCCAATCGGCGAGGCGGCTGTGGAGATCTCGGAGGAGCCCGCCGCTGTGACCTTTGGAGTGCTGCCGAGTGGGGTCCCTGCCCTTCCTTTTGTCCCGGCGCTTGTTGCGGCCGTCAACGACAACTTCTCCTTTGCCTCTGCGGAGTCCGGTGCCGGGGGAAGGGACCCAGTGTCTGCTCGCCTCGACAGGCTCGAGCGCATGATCGCTTCCTTGCCAGCCGGCCAGCCCGGCGACACCAAGACTGCAGGTCGTGCAAAAGCCAAGCCCACAGCGAAAGCAGCCCCGAAGGCCGCCGGACCTCGAAGCACTTTGGATCCCTCTGTGGCAGCTGCTGCCCGTGCTGCCGGAGTGCCTGCCAGCACCTTGAGCGAGTTCGAACGGCTCCTTGCACAGCCTGCGGGCGGGCGTTTGGCCGCCGAACCTGGCCCGACTCGTGCTCACGACCCCCTGGAGGAGTCCGAGGAGGAGGCTCAGGAGGAGGCCGATCCTTTTTCACTCGGCGCTGGTGGTGTCGGGCCGACCGCCGTCGCATCGCAGCCGACCGGGGAGGCGAGCCAAGCGGAGCAGTTTGCAGCAGCGATGTTTCGCATGATGGAGGGCTACTCTCGCGGCCAAGCTGCCAGGACTTCGGCTTTGGAAAGGGCGTTGGACGGCGCCGGTGGTGGATCGGGAGACAGCGGCGGTTTGCCGTCGGGCCGCCGCAACGCAGCCGCTCGGCGGGCCCTGCGGGAGGCTCTGATCAGCTCGCCTTCGGATGTCACGGCCGTGATCGAACGGCTTATGCAGGAGGACTTGGCCTCCTCGGCGCCCGGCGTTGGTATGGCTCAGCAAACCAGCGCCCGAGCCTGGGTGGAGCATCGCTCGAAGGTGGGACCTTACCCCACGGCCATGTACCTGTCATGGTGTGCGGCAGGCGCTTTGGACGCTCTTCGCGGGGGGCTCGTGGACCAGTGCCGTGCCCGCCTCAATGTCATGCTGATGGTCATCGACCAAATGTCTGTGGACCGGGGGTCGTGGACCCTCGCAAGCGAGCTGACTCTGGAACTTCCACCTCCGGCCCACGCCTTCCGACTGAGGGACCAGAGCGGTGTGAGCTCCGGGTCGCAGGCCTACTCTCGGCTCCTGGACGCCCGCTGGGCCGAGGTCGCGCTCACGCACCTGCGCGAACAGATGGACTTTACGGAGCGCCGGCAAAAGCTTCAGAAAGGGCAGCCGCCTGCCGCCAGCCAAGACTCCGCTCCCGAGCCTCCGGGCGAGGGGGCTCCAGCTGCCCCGGGGCGCCCTCCGAGGAGGACCCCGAAGCACTAGCCCGAAAAGCCTGCATGCCTCAGCCCGCAGCCTGGGCGCCCGACCTTCAGCCGCGCGGGCCGTCCCGCGTGCCTGGGGACCGTGCCCCCTCTTTCTCCGTGCCTGGGCTTTTGAATTCACTGCCGCGCCTGCTGCTTTCTAAAGCGGGCCCTTTTGCTTCTTTCCTCCGCGGTATGCTCGCTGAGGGGCATCAACCTGCCTCTACGCCACATGTCTGGCCCTGCCCTCTGCCAAGCCCTGAGGTTTTCCACCGGCCGTGTGGGCACAACAGCTGGAAGCTCATCCTGCTCAACCTTTGTGTCGCCGTGTTGTCCTGGTTGTACCTCGGCAAACCGGTGCTGTGCCCCCGCGAGATCAGGGCTGGCGCGAAGCTGCACAGGCGCCAAGCTGAAACAGTCAAGCGCCTGCGGGCCGCCATTTTTGGTGATTTTTTTCCTTTGAGATTTTCGGCCGGCGACCTTGGCCGGCACGCTGCTAAGGTCGAAGGTCATTCTGAGGTGCTGGGTGCTCTTGCGCGGGCCGCTTCTGCTTTGGCTTCCGCGCACGGCGGGTACTTGGGGCCTCCTTCTCTCGCGTCTTCTGTTGCTGCACAGCCGGCCCCGAAGGTCGGCACTCTGCCTGGGCCGCCGGCCACCAATGCTCGCCCGATCCAAGCCTCGAGGATCAAGCTGCCAGAGCCTCCACGGTTCGAGCCCGAGCCCTTCCTGGACGACAGGACCAAGCACCTTTACCAGCATCCGCTGCTGCATGCTCGAGCTCCGTTCCCTGGCGAGCGCCCGCCCCAGGTGCGCATTCTTGCTCGTGCCGAGGAGCGCCTCCTGCTTTATCGGGCCTTGGCTGACTCCGAGCGGCTCGTCGTTGCAACCCACCCTCCCGGCCGGGAGGCGTTTGGAGCTGGCTTGTTTTGTGTCCCGAAGTCCTCCGAGAAGGACCGCTTGATACTTGACGCTCGGCCGGCAAACGCTTTGGAGACCGCGGGCTCCGTCTGGACTCGAACTCTGTCCTCTGCCGCGGCCGTGGCCTCGATCGTGCTCGAGCCCTCTCAGGTGCTGCTCCTCACCGGGGCCGACCTCAAGGACTGCTTTTACCAATTTCGGGCGCCCCCGGGGCGTGTGCAAAGGAACTTGCTGGCCGACTCTCTCAGCCACGAGGAGGCCGCTTTCGTGTTCCGGAGGCCGCCTGACACCTTTAAGGACGGCCCCGGTCGTGTGCACGTGAGCTTCTCCAGCCTCGCCATGGGCGATTCTTCTGCATGCGAGTTCGCCCAAGCGGCTCACCTCGGCGTTTGCCTTCGAGGCCAGGCTCTGTTTCCGGGCGAGCTCCTTGTTCATGCCGCGGCGCCGCCTCGAGGTTTGCTTTCGGTGGGGTTAGTCATAGACGATTTAGTCTATCTCGAGAAGGCCCTCGCCTCCGAGCTTCCTGCCATCACCGCCGGGCAGGCTCCCTCTCTCGGCCGCCGCCGGCTGGATGCCCTCCTCGACGCCTACCGACGCGCCCCCTTGCGGGTTTCCGATGACAAGGTCTTCTACAACAGCACTCGTGCCAGCTTCTGGGGTGTCACCGTCTTTGGGGAGAGCGGCTGGGTTCGACCGAACCCGGAACGGCTGTGGCCGCTGATCCTGATCACCAGCCGGGTGATCCAGCTGCAGCTTTGCACGGCCCAGCTCCTTGAGTCTTTGGTCGGGTCCTGGCTTTCGATCTTTCTCCTGCGGCGGCGACTCCTCGCCAGCATGGTGCACGTGTTCAGCGCCGTGCGCGGCCTGCAGCCGAACGACATCATCAGGTTGTCTCGCGACTTGGCGGCTGAGCTCAGCTCTTTCATTCTGCTGGGGCCTTTGGCCTGCGTCTGCTTGCGTGCCCCCGTCGATGCCAATGTCACGGCCACCGACGTGTCCTCAACATGGCAAGCCGCCGTGCGTGCGCCCATTCCCCCAGCCGTTGCTGTTGAAGGCGTCCGGCAGGCTCTTCAGAAGGGCGCTTGGACACGCTTGCTCGGCGACACTGCCGCTTGGCTTCGCGAAAAAGACCTCCTCGAGCCGGAGCTCGAACTACCCGAGGGGGTCTCTTTCAAGGCGCCTCCCCTTTACCTCGGGCTGGCTCGCTACCCCCGGTTCGTCGAACTTTGGAGGAGGGAATACCGGTCCCGTGTGCACATCAACGTGGCCGAACTCGAGGCCTACCTGCGGGAGGAAGCCCGGGCCGGTTCACGAAAACCGTGCCACCGCCACCTTTTCGGTTTAGATAGTCAGGTTGCCTTAGGCTCGGTGTGTAAAGGCAGGTCAGCCTCCCCGGCTTTGAACGAGCTCCTGTCTCGGAGCATCGCTCCGTACGTCGGCTTCCACATTTTGCCGCATCACACCTTCTTTCCCTCGGCCGAGAATCCTGCCGATGACCCTACCCGAAGGCAGGCTGTCAGGGAGCCCACTCTCCCGGCTCCCCGGTGGTGGAGCGAGCTTTGCAACGGCCGGCCCCTGGAGCTTGACAAACTGACTCGGAGCCTGGGTTTTACCGTTGATGGCGAGGGCTTCTGCCAGGAGGACTTGTTTCAGCTTGGCGGCCGTGCCGGCTCGCTTCTTGTGAGCGGTTCTGAGGTCAAGCGTGCTGTGAGAAAAGGCCCGGCCGGCCATGCCAGAGCCGCCCGCGAGCCGCGTGCCACTTGCGTTGAACCGCCGGCGCCCGAGTCCAGTGCTGGAGCTGCTCTCCCCGCAGCCCTCCGTGCCCGTCTTGAGGACTTCCCTTTGAGGCAATTTGTCTGCGCAGGGCGGGTCCCTGATCTTTCGCGTCGCGGTGCCCTTGACCTTT